ATCAATGCCTTTGTGGCCAGTGGAAGAAAATAAAAACTCTTCCGCGTAAAAGAATATTAATTCTATATATATATACATTAACATACCACACAAGTATATATATTACTAGAAACATGAAGGCATAATCCAAAATTGAAAAAGAAAAAAAATTCTTCTTGTTCAATCACTTGTTTAATGGAAAAATAAAGAAAAGTGAGATGATTGATGGGATACCCATTAACCGGAAAGTTCCTATTGGTAAAAATCGCGTAAAGGCGAAAAATAACAGGCGGAATGAAATAAACTGCGGAATAAAAAGTTGCAGAACCAAAATATTGTGTAATTGGATAAATTGGTAAAACGACGGAATAGAGTACAAAATAATCAAGATATATACATAAACTTAAAATATACTATTAAAATTGTTAGAAATTATGTCACATTTTAGATATTAAAGATAGCTAAAAAATGTAAACAGTTGCATTTGGGGATTTGGATAGGGGCATTCTACACAATGGAATAATTTTAAACTTTTTATTTTTATTTCAGGGTTCTTGGATTTGTGAAATCTCAGAGCACTGAGTGTAATGATGATGCGTAGGAAACATGAGTGACCAACCTGGATTTCATGTGGGGAAGAGCAATAAACCAAAAAAAGGTTTTGATCTTTTCTTCATCTTCTTCAACGCCTTCTTTCATTACTATCTTTGTTTCCCACTATTGCATCTTGCCCACCAAACTTGGGTGACGATAGCAAGCCCATTGATTTCAGATACTATGATGATTAAAAACATAAAAAAATGTATTGACATTGTTATGTTTTAAAGCAATTGATGACATGTAAGTTTATAAAAATGTTCTTGATCCATTTTGTATTATTCCCGTCGATTTAAATTATCTTGTAGAAAAAAAAAACAGATAAATATGTTTAAATATAATTTTGTCTAATTAATTCAATTTTATAATTGATTGATGAACAAATTGAAATATTTTCATTATACTAAAGCATATTACTACATTCTACACCTACTTGGTTGCTAGTTAGCATAACTGTTTTTTTTTTTAATAACCAATCTAAATTTTACCACCCGACTAATTTTTTTACGATGAGTGTAACCGTAGTAAAATAGACTTAAAATATGGCACTATTTGATGTTTTTGACTGGGCAAATAGAGGTGCATAGTTGTTTTTAGATAAAGCGATTGTTCTGTCTATTTCTTTTATTTATTTTTGCTAAAATATTTTTTTGTCAAAACAAAATACAATATAGATTTATGAGCATTTGAATCCCATAATAACGCACCGATAATATTAATTATTGGCACTTCAAAAATAATATTTTTTAAAAATTCTCTTGATTTATTGATACAAATTAGAGCACATGTTTTTGTCTGTTAAGACGGTTTCTTCTATCCATTTTTTTGGTGATGCATTAGTGAATTTGTTTTGTTCTACACATTTACATTTTGTATATGTTTAGTCCATAATATTTCTTACATTTAAAAAGAATGTTTAGTTTTCCTATAAGTGGAAGTATTAGGTGTTGAGATTTATTAAAATTACATTTTACACACGTGTAATTTTATTTTGGGTGATGTAGTTGTTATTTATATATTAAATTAATAAAATGAAAAATTACAAGAAATATATCTTTAATGATTATAGAATCGGAATGGGTCTGAGCACATCATGCACCACCTTTGACTCCAATCCCTCCCCTTCACTTAAATTGTAATTTTCATGTAAGATACCCAAAAACTTTAATGTTATATATTTGCAGTCACTGTGAGAGAATCTATTCTAATTACAATTTTATATAATGAAATGAAACTGTCTATTAACAAATTACATGTTACATTGAACAACATGTAGCCAAAAAAAAAAAATGGACCAACAAAAAAAATCAAGTGAACTGAACAACGAACATGGTTACGAGTAAGTGTAATAATTGCCTTTTGTCTCGTTTTCCTTTTCCGCCACAAAGATCTGTATAGATTTTATGGAATGATTGCTAATTGTAACCTTTGTTGAAGAAAGATATCAACTTTCATTTATATTTGTGTTCTAAAGATAAGGGATAGAGTAATTATGATTACCGTCTATAAGATTTCATTTTGTATACACTATTTTAAATGTGAGGTTTCTAATAAGGTGCACATTTATGATTACCCACGTATTTTTATAAAATGTTTATATTCAATAAACTTGCCCAATAAAATGTTTTGTATTCAATTAACTAGCTCAATAAAAAAACTAACATCACAAACATAGTATAAAAAAATGTTAAACTAGACTAGTTATGAATTGGTTAAGAACTCTAGATCCTTGAGAATTCACAAAT